TTCCGAACCCCAAAACCCCAAAACCCCAAAACCCCTAAAGTTAAGTGTTTAAAATAACTCTGATTTTTAAAAAAGTCTATAAATTAAATCAAATAATGTTTTTAATGGATAATGACAAGATTAAGTGCTTTATATACTAATTTACATTCCTAATAACCTCTCATTCAATTTAGTTATTTATTTATCAGGTTGCTAAGTTTAGATCGGATTGGTTTACTTTAGGATTATTCTAGCTTCCAATCCTGATGTACATACCCTCAATGATAATCTCATCTTTGACAATAATTTTCATGCTGATGAATAAATATACAAGCTATAGTGAAACACCTTTTTACATACCCTTGAAGAGGATAATTATACTAGGAGTATTAAATATAATATAATTTGGTGGCGAATATTTAGCCTTAACTCTTTCAACAACTATTGACATTCAGAGTTAGGTAGCTTATAACCTAACAACTTACAGTGTTTGGAATTTGATCACTTTTTTAATTTATACTTAGACAATAAAAATCATGTTTACTCCAGTTTTAGCTAAAATATTTTTAGGTCAGAAAATATTCTGCAAAGATTATCTTATGTCACTATTTTTGGCACTTTTCATTATATTTATCAATGAATTCATAGTTTTTAGAGATTTATCTTAGCAAGAATCATCTTAAAATGGCTCAAATTTGATTGATGACTCATCATCATACATTCTGATTATCTAGAAGAGAGAATATTAACTAACTAAGAATGATTTAGAAAACAATAACTTGACCACAGATTACTTTTATTAATAGAGCTTCCCTCTTATTTTCACAATTGCATCAGCTATAGCCTAGAGTTTAAAATATATTCTAAATATGAGATTTTAGCTTAAATAAGGCTAAAAGCGTAAACTGAAGTTGCTGATAAGAAAAAAGTTTCAGCTATAAGAAGAATCTGATATTAACTTGGATGCTTTGAATAAATCTCAAATGCTTCATCCTCGAAGAGTTATTAGATCAAGCTAAGTTTTCAGAAGATTTATTGCTTTTTATGAAAGCTTTAATAAGAAAATGATAACTAAGGAAAGTTAAGTAAACTCTGCCAATGCAAAATCTCAAAAAATTTAAGTTAAAGATGATATCCTACTAGCATATAAGAAAATCAAATACTTGCCTGCTAGTTTCAACAAAGTATTTGTAAAAGTTAAAAAGCCTAAAATCCAACAAGAATATGAGTTTGACTAATTGATAAAAACAAAAACAAAAAAGCTTTACTAATAAATGAAGAGAGAGCGAGAGGACTATAATAAATTAACTAAACTTAAAGTGCAAAAAATTACCAAGAACATAAAAAAGCAAAGTGAACTATCAAAATTTACTAAAAAATATAATAAGCAAGCTAAGAAGTATCTATCAATTGTTTATCATGCTAAGGAGTAAAATAAGCATTTGAAACTGGTACATGAACTGGATGTGATGTTAAATACTCTAAATGATACAGTGTTTCATGTTCATTTATTTCCAGACTATAATGAAGTACACCTAACTAAGCTTGATCTGTTGTATACAAATTAGCACTATTTATTCAATGAATAGATATTTGGAATTGACCTGCCAAAAACATACGCTTTAAATTTTGCTATTGAAAATATGCTAATTCCGTTATCATTCTTATTTCTAGATATGATGATTAACACCACCGGCCTCACTTACTACAATCTATACACATAGAATAGCAATGATTACTTAAATCAAATAAAAGACAATTATATTGCTCTTGTAGTTCTATTCGGAATTGCTATCTTACTTAGACCTTTTGCTAATTACCATTTTATAATGAGTACCAAAACTTCTAGGTAAAGATGGCTATCAATGCTGAATTCAATTTTGGTATACTTTCTCTATCAAATTTTTGTGAGACTAAATTTTACCATTAATTTAAAGGAGTTCTTCTGTTTTGTCTTATCAAATTATTTAGTGGTGTATGTTCAAGAATAAATGGAATAAAAATGGCATTTAAAATAGGATATGCAGATTATCCAGGTACTTAAAGGCCACTTATTCTAGTAAGATTTCTTTTAAGCCAAGAAATTTGAGAATTAAATGCTTCTTATTCACGAAGAATTGGGTCGAGAAGCATTTAACAAAGTTGTAGAAGATCTTCTAATTTCTAATCATCCTAAGTAAATAAATCATCTTGCCCCATCAGTATTTCCTATGAGGAAAAAAATTGATCCAGACTACTCTAGATTAACATCTATGTGGGGAGGTGGATATCCTAGACCTGTCGTTGAGTTCTCAGAATCTCTATGGGATTTTACTGATGCTGTAAAGCTTATTAAAGGACCTAAATCAGATCTAATTTTAAAGAAACTTACCTAATAGTCCAATCCAGATATTGATTTAGCTGACTTAGTTTATTTTAAGTAATAATCTTGGGAAGAAGAATACGGAAAAGTTGTTATAAATATGTCAAAGTATAAATTAGCTTAGGATAATCTAGACTTAAATAAATAAAAGTAATAAAGAGAACTACTAAGACAAAAGGCTTACTACGAGCTCTAAAAGAAACAAGAAGATGAAGAAAAAAGAATAATGCTTTAAAAAACAAAGCTTGAAGACAAAGATATATTAAAATCCTCTAAGTATGCAGAGAGTATGAAGGTGAATAGAAACTCAGAAATGAAATTATAGGATCCAGATGTAGATAGAAGAACTTTAGACTCTAGAAATCCTTAAAGTCATTCTAAGAATAACTTTAAGGTAGATGAAGCAGTAGATCTTAATTAATAAAGTTAAAATAAATTCCTTAAAAACTAGCAAGACCTCGTAAAGCAATAATAGTAATAACTTGAAATCGCAAAAATCAAAGAATAAAAGCTTTAATAAGAGCTCTATACTTAGAAAAATATGCTTGAATAACAGTAAAAATTGCAGCAGGAATAATTCATGTAAACTCAAATGTGGATGATGGCTTACAGCGCTTATTAATAACAGATGCAAATGTAGCAAATGCGTGCTTCCCAAACCTCCTCATTCGGAATGTTGTCGACTATGTAATCATAAATGAGTCAAAGTCATACTACTAAAAAATTAAATCCAATTTCTGATTAAATTGTTGAAGAGGAAGAAGAGTATGATGAAGAAGATTATGGAGATGAAGCAGAAGAACAAAAAGTTTAAGACATAGATGATGTTATTCGTAATAAAAAAGAAGAGGGAGGTAAAATTGATTCTAATTAAATTGACTCAACAATAAACCCTTCTAATGATTAATAGCAACCAGATATGAGTTATGATTTAAACATAGCGGAGGATAATGACAATTTAATTGATTCAAAGAGAATGCTTTTAGGTTCAAAGTAATCTAATAAATCATAAGCTAGTGCAAAGAGTAACTAGTTTATGAGGGAAAGTAAGAACTCAATGAGATCGACTAAATCTAAAAAAGATGACATTGATGATAGAAATACGGTTTAGAATGAAATGAAACTTAGGAATCTAGTTGCTCCAGAGAATAAATCTAATGACATCAGAGAAGATGTGTCTCCGAAGTCTAATAACAAATCCTAACTCTTATTTTATTAGAAAAATGATAAAGAAGACTAACTTACTGACATTGAAGCAGAAGCTGAGGAGGATAAAAAACAATGATTTCGTATGGAATATTTTTCAAAGTATTCTTAAACTAATAAATATTATTGATAGATTTTTAAACTTAATTTCATAATTTTCTTGCACGTTAGCAATCTGTTTGTTTGGGGTTTTGGGGTTTTGGGGTTTTGGGG